GAACCCGCCGGCCGCGCCGTTCTCAAGCCCGCCCACCGCTGCTCACTCAAGCCGGCCTCTGCTCACTCTAGGCCTCTGTGTGTTTCTTTGTGAAAGCGAAACTACTTTGTTTGTTCCAAAAGAGGACACAACTAGAAATCAGTGGTTAAGTTGTATTTACAACACTGTTCCAGAACAGTTCAACCCAAATATTAAACAATGAATAACTGCATTTTCATTAACTAACATTAACAAAGATTAATAAATACTGTAACAAATGTATTGTTCATTGTTAGTTCATGTTAGTTAATACATTAACTAATGTTCTTTCTTTCTTTTTCTTCTTTCTTTTATTTATTTACTGAGCACTTTCACACAACGGACCATTGACCAAAGTGCTGTACAATATGTAAACACATAATAAAATGTCTCAAACATAAAACACAACACTAAAACCACAATGACAGTGAAATAAACTCCACAATTTTAATATACAGAGAAATGTCTATACTCCATTAAATACTAATGCAAGGAAATATTCCTTAAGATTGTGTTTAAAAACACTTAATGTGGGAGCTGATCTGAGAGAAAACAATAATTAATTCCAGAGTTTTGGAGCTATCGCTACAAAAGCTTGATCTCCACTTCGCCGTTTAGTTCTTGGAATCATCAAAGCCAGCTGGTCAGCTGACCTTAGAGACCGCTTTGGCTCATATTTTTTAATCAGTTCCACCAAGTACACAAATGACATTAATGTTAACAAATGACACCTTATTGTAAAGTGTTACCAAATTTTCTTATTTAATAAATGCTGTTTACAAAATTTTAATTTAATTAATTATTTTTATTTTGCTGCCAAAGTTAGTGTGTTAAATGATAATTCAATTAGCGACATACACTTTCTCAGGGCTTTCTATTGTACTTTTTTGCCATTTTCTTTTTTAATAAATGTGGGTTACAACATGAAACCAATACAATAAAACTAAAACTAAAATTGTGGCTAATTTTATTTTATTTTAGGTGGTTTTAGAGTCATGAAAATGTATTTTAATTCACTTTTTTAGTATCATATTTCATAAACAATTGTAACACCGGCATGCTCAACACACATCTTCACGTGTGTGTGTGTGTGCGTGCGTGCGTGCGTGCGTGTGTGTAAACAGGCGACTGTGGTCTGCTCCCAGGAAAGTCTCAGTCAGAAGTCGATATGGTTCTTCACTATTATCAGTGGTGGAAAGAAGCAGCTGGTGGATCTAGAGATTATTACTCACCTTTCATCCATGCAAATTGTGTTTTGTTCTAAAAAAAAGCCAAACTTTTTCAGTACATTGATTTTTTTTATATTTCTTCCTGCTTTTGTGAAAGCTTTGATTTTTGAAGTTGGACTTTACAGTAGTTTTTGTCATTACTTTTATAAAGACACACTTCCAGTATCATTTGCCACTTAGCTTGTGTGCTTTGTGGCTGTGTACGTCCCATCAGATGTTTAAAGCGCATTATCATGACACCAAACTGACTTTCAACGCCATGCTGTCCTTAAATTAGAGGATCCCTCTGGTCCAGCTGTCATTTACAGAGCAAAGGCACCCTCTTCTAAACTGTACTAGTGTAGTTACATAATACTTTCCAGAGAGACCTAATAAGCATAGGCTAACATTTAGGTGTCACATCCTAAATCCTCTTTACGCATTCATAATCAGATAAGAACTCTTTGGATCCTCTGGCTTTGTATTGGTTGCAGAGCATCACAATTGAAGGGAATGTTCCAGACTTTGCCCTTTGTTTAAAATTTGATCATAAAAAGCTTAGATGCTTTTGAATCCTTGAGCATTTACATTAACATTCAACCTATGGATATACAGTAATCCAATTTATGTGGTGCTCACATATCTATATACTTCAATTATACTCATGAAACCTTTATTTTGTAATTATTTACTCATCCTCATGATATTTGAAACCCCTGTAATGTTTTTTCTTCTGTAGAACACAAAAGAAAATGTTTAGCAGAATGTCAAAGCTGCCCTTTTCTTTCAATGGAAGTGAATGGTAATCATGTTCATTTTAGTGAACAATGACTTCATCTTTGGTCTGCTTTCACCACATATCATACAGGTATGTCTTCAGAATAGACCACTATTATGATGCTTTAATGGTGCTTTATTGTCCATTTTGGAGTTTGTAAGCTCTAGTCCCCATCCATTTCCATTGTATGAAAAAGTGCAGCAGTATAAACGTTCTTCAAAACTTATCGTTTTGTGTTCCATGGAAGAAAAAAAGCCACTTTTGTTTAGGGAGCAATTCCCAGTATTGTTTATTAGCATGCATATTACTAGCATACTGGCTGTTCATTAGTACTTATAAAGCACATGTTAATGCCTTATTCTGCATGATCATATTTTAGATCCCTTACTAACTATTAATAAGCAGCAAATTAAGAGTTTATTGAGGCAAATGTCTAAGTTAATAGTGAGAACTAGTCCCCAAACTAAAGTGTAATCAAAAAGCCATATGGGATTGGAACTCTAAGTGGGGGTGAGTAAATTCTGACTTTAAAATTTTTATTTTACGTTTTTATTTTTGGGTAAACAGCTTTTGCAAAGCTGTTTGCAAAACTCATAAGTCATTTGAAACAAATGTAGTACCTTTGTGGACAAACCATTTGCATCCATAAAACCCTGAATGGCAGATTGTACAAACGTGGCCATTTTTTATTTTGTGAAATAAACCTAGCACGGAAAAATTGCTACAGTTATAGGTCGGAGAACAAGTGATGGAAATGTCAGAGTAATTATAAAAGGGTACCACTATAATGCTAACCACAACAGAGAATTTTTATTTTTGGGTAAACAGCTTTTGCAAAGCTGTTTGCAAAACTCATAAGTCATTTGAAACAAATGTAGTACCTTTGTGGACAAACCATTTGCATCCATAAAACCCTGAATGGCAGATTGTACAAACGTGGCCATTTTTCATTTTGTGAAATAAACCTAGCACGGAAAAATTGCTACAGTAATAGGTCGGAGAACAAGTGA